ATGGGATTAAAAGGCCGATCAATAAAAAGTAATTGTAAGAAAATTGTGACATATCTACCAAATTTTAAATGTTGTTTCATTGATGCTTATTGTAAAAATGATTCATAAATTTCTAGATACTACTTTCCAGTATCCAGTTATCTTGTGACTTATCACTTATTTATATATATCTACATATATTTATTTTTTTCTTTATTTATTCTTTATTGCATTCCCTAGAACAAAAGAATATAAAGGGCGGACTTAATGCCTTGAGGCATTCCCTACCAGTCAACCCATTATATCCCCCACAAGCTGTAACATCCTGTCAGCCCTCCCAGGAGTTCAATTTTCCCAAATACTTTCTAAGTGGGTGTCTACATAGAGAAATGAGTATATATTATATAATATGCAAAGTTTCAAATAAATCGAGCGTATAGTTTTGTAGATCTAGTGATGAGTGAGTGGGTCAGTGGTATTTCGCTGGTATAAAGGTCATATTCCCACAATAAGTATTGTTGAGCGCCACCATTAATGCCTGGTATATGGCAACAGTAGTTACCACTAGCGCCCTCTAGTATCGAGTATCAAAACTAGAAGAGTCAGGATTCTTTTTTCCATGGAAGAATTTTCTAGAACTATCGACACCTAGTCAGTCGGGACTGTACTCGAACATTCTAGATGTTTCTGCAGTAGAAGGTTCTGGAAATTATCTGAGGCCCTATAATAAGGTCGGTATAGACCGCGACCCGGTTAGAGTTAAATTGGCGATACAAGCGAATACTTCGAAGCGATACAACTGCGAACTAAAGTGATCAGTAGTACAATTGTGTTTTGTTATTAGTGTGGTTTTAAGTTGTAATAAGTGTTCTGTAATTAAAGTGTCAATTTTGGTAATTCACTCGGCAGTTTTTAATTGTCTCAAACCCCAAGCTCGAAACAGTATGTTAGGTTGAGACGGTGGCTAATAGCTACACTATCCGATATAATCGATGTATTGAAGATATTTTTACATTGTAATAAGTTCAGAATGAATTCAAAGTTAAACTCATAACCCAGTTAGTATAATATATTATATGGTCGTTCTTTACTCAATTACAGTGTAGATATTATATGTACATACTAGCTGTTCTCCGCGACTTCGCCCGCGTGTAATTTGGGGTTTTAAATTTTTTTGCGCTGTATCCTAATTCTTTTTCTAAAATAAAAGTAGCCTAAGTTACTCCTTCAGCTATCTCCGAATGAAAGTCCTGTCAAAATCGGTCTAGCCATTTTGGAGATTAGCCGGAACAAACAGACAGATCTACAAAAATTTTAAAAATTGTGTTTTTGTTATAAGCACCGTATATACTTTCATATGCATGTAGTAAAAAAAACTGTTAATTTTACGTTACAAACAGACACTTCAATTTTATTTATTTTTATAGATTATCTAGTACAACTCATTTACAGTTTAATAAGAGACCTTCGTGAATCATTGTAGATTCAAAAACGGCTTGTTTACGTGAGTCTCAGAGCACTACAGTAAAATAATAATATGTTTTTATTACAATTACTTATTCTACTTCGATCTGTGACTATAATAAAAATTTATTAAATAAAATACATGTTACCATCAACAAATAACTGTCTTATCGCTTTAAATACGAGGGCGACACTGAAAGCTTTTAGAACTGGTTACTTGTAAACGATATAATAAAAAAATAAGTTAAAATTTTGAAAATGGAACTCTTTGCCAATATTATTGTGTATGTGTTTTATTAATTTGTCATTTGCTTACGATTTGGCGGCAAATTGAAATTTGTCTGTGTCACGTCAGCATGAATTTAACGCGAGAAAATTATCGATGTCATTTCAGTCAACAAGAAATTTATGATATACATAGATTGGCCTTTCACGATGAAGCCCCATCTCGTGCCACTATTTACAACTGGTTTAATGAGTTTAAAAGTGGTCACACTAATCTCACCAATGTTCTGCGTGAGTGCCGCCCTCCTACGGCGACGACTGAAGATAACTAATCAGTGATGTACGGCGTTTGATAGAGACTGACAAAAGAGTGACTATCAGTAGATTTGGACAAGCTTAGGCATCGGTATGAGTCAATTGCACAAAATCCGCCTTGGCGCATTGGTGACATCAGACGTGGAATTACTGGGTTACCCGCCTTATAGCCCCGACCTTGCGATTTTTATTTATTTCCGAATATAAAAGAAACACTTCGAGGAAAACTTTTTATGGGCGCCGAGGAAGCACTTGTTTCAAAATGCCGTCGATGTGACTCCAAAGGACGAGTGGGCAGTGCTTTTCTCAGTTGTTCCATCGGATGCAGCGATGTATTGATGTAAATGGACACTATTTTGAAAAGATATAATAAAACTAATAACTTGCTAGTTTGTGCATTTTTTATTTTCTAAGAACTTTTAGTGTCACCGTCGTATGTTTTGCTAATGAAAACTACAAAAAAGTTTCGGCAAAAACTTGCCATTGCCACTAAAGGGTTGACTAGCTTCAACAAGAGAAATAGTAGTAGTAATTAAAGTACTTGATTCGTTTACGCAGTTTATTGGACTTTATTTGTTTTATTTAACTATTTATTTTCTGTATTCAGAATAATATTTAAAAGTATTATTCAAAACTAACTTCTGGATTGAACTTTAAAGACTTTTCAGTATCCGTCAGCCACTGACAATAAACGCCATAAACAACATCTACATTTCTAGAATGTACTTTTTACCTTCATTTGAACGATAGCGCTAAGGTATGCAGTACAGCAACGCTGTAGCTGTTTATTTGCTATAGCGCTTTAGTAGCGTAATAATAATATAATGTGGTAGAATTTTTAATAAATTTTGGTAATAATTTTAAATCAATTATCCATTAAAGTCTTTTAAAGTCCAACGCTGAACATAGACCTCCCCAAAGATTGTTTCATAGTTGATTTAGCAACCGCAATATTTAATTTTATAGTTGTTACTACAAAGACGGCACGCTGTCGCTCCTTACGACACTCACGGGACGATATGGAGGTGTGGATGTTCTTACACCGCCACGCCACTTCACGGTGTGGCGGTTCATCCGTGATCTTTTGTTGTAGATCATTTACTTGTCACTCCTATAACTGATTTGAAATTAGCAGAATTCTATAAAGAGAAGCCATAAATTAATTGACCTTTTTGACTGGGCTTACTTTAAGGGAGGAACTGGTTCCTGAACACACTGTTATACTAGATCAGGGGCCAGGGAATATTTTTTTTTTTACTTATGACATTAAAATCTGTTTTTCGTAGTTTTCATCGTTAAGAAAAATATTTGTCGTTCCAATTGTGATAGGTGCGCGTGTTGTGACTCTCCTATTAAGCGATTTAAAATTAACTTGCGTAGTATTCGGCGCGCCGCGCCGGCCGAGACTGCAGTTAGATAACCTCGCGTTATCTTTTGTTGTTTCACTTAACTGCGACGCGGCTACGGGGCCTTTGAGACCCGGTAATATCATTAACGTGGATAAGCAGGAAATTATTATAACGTAGAAAATAAATTATACGTGAGTAGTGCAATGAAAACTCATTATATTTTTTTAAAGCTTATCGATGCATTTAGGAAGTATGTAATAAGCGCATAATGATATTAAAAGGCTTATTTATAATTACACCGGTTACATAGGTTCCAATATTTTTGTTAGATTGTATTTCTATGGTTAAAAAAACCTTCGTTGAAATTTATATTATTAAAAACTCTTAAGTTTTCGGTGATGCTTACATATTTAAAAAATGTAATAGACGCTTGAAATGGAAAGATGAAATGTAGTTACTAATTTAATGAATCGTTTTATTAATAACTATTTAAAAAAATGTGTTTCGAAATGACGACTAATATTTAAAAAATAAAGAAGTTGAAAAAACTTACAGGACGTCGATGGATACATGAGGAGCGTGAGTGTGGCATTGTTTGAAAGAAGCCTATTTTTAGCTGTGGACTTGTTGTAAATCTAGCTTTATTCTGTGTAAATGTTACCGAATAAAAATTTATTTGTTCTTTACAACAGTATTTGAATAATTTACTTTAGAAATATAAATGTGATAGATAAATGAAATCATGACTTATTAAAGCAAACGTTGGTCGTTTTATCTTTAGCCCACTTTGATGTATTAAGTTATTAAGAGCTAAGTGTTAAAATAAACCTGATTGATTTATCAATGCAAAATAATTAGGTATTATATATTATTACGTTGTCATACACTTATGTAATTTATTCAACATTCAGTAAATTTCCTTATTAATGAGCCCATTTTATTCTAGTAAGACTACTATTACTATTGACTATACATAGCTATTACAAAAAATCTTAAAATCGCTTACCCCTTAGCGTCCGAAACGAAAGTGTACTGCTGGCGATCGTCCAGCGCTTTGCGTGCCTTTTTGCTATGATTTGTTTATTTGTCGATTATTTTCGTATTTCTGCATGCTGATACGACGCTGTGTTTACACGACATTGTCAATATAATCAACTGATACTCTTAATACAAACAACCAATTAGGTAATGCGATATAATTAGAATATAACGTGACCTCAACACCAAAACACGACAATACATTAACATTGCCAAGTTTATCTGCAAATTACTCTACATCTATTCATGCAACAACAGATTATATTTAAATTACATACTTTTTTATTTTTTACTTTTAAAGGGTTTAGTGCATTTTAATAACGCTGTTGTTAGGGACAAAGATAATTAATAACTTGTACCGGCCTGAGAGACCAAAGCGGTGATCATACGGTCGGATAAACAATCGAAGTGTGACAGCGCCGGGGCGCTATCGCATTTTCCGGAGGTTGGCGGTTTTCGGTCGACACTCGGCAGTGCCGCAGACGCGCGCGCACAGAAAGCATGTGCGATGCGATCGAGTCGCCATGTACATAGAACCGGCCGCGTTTCGCGCCCCCAGCGATGAATCGCTCGCTAACAACGAACCCACGCCGATCTGGACGCAGTGCTTACCCAACCCCTTATTCGCAGGCAAGAAGGCGCCCCTCAAGACCTTCGAGGAAGTCCAGCCGTTACTTCAGCAAGGCCGCAAGCGCGAGCTCAAGCTGCTCATCAGAGAAAACTCCTGGCCCATTAACAGTCCCGTGCGCGCTTCGCTCTGGCCCGCGCTGTGCCGTCAACATCAACATGGCAAGTCTATGCTTGACGGATTCTACTGGGATATGGTTACACAGGTCAGTGATCTTTCGTTGCACAATTACTTATTTTTTTTACAAATATCATCAGAGTGATTACAGTGAGCAGCTTATCTAGCAAAAACGTCTAACAAGTTCCGTCAAGGTCGTGTGTATTTACTTTGCTCCTCACCGCCCAAATGTTTGTGATGTATCGCGCCCCCTGATAAGGTGACGTTCGGACCAAGGTCGATGGATCAAAAATAAAATTTTCATTCAGGTAACCTAGAAACGATACCTAATACGACCTCACAAGATCAAAGCGTCGTTATACTCCAAGCGATTTTAGCTCATATTCAGGTTGACACACCTCAGGTTTTGGCATAAATCGTCTGGCCGATTCGCTGAGCGCGGTCTCCATTGTCAACTTTGTAACCGCGTACGTGACCGACAGTTTAAGAAGAAATTACACCATGCAAGTTCATATTGTCACGTGATCGCCGAAAATGTTTTCTAGCGCTTGACGATATTGATTTAGTTCAACATTATGGCGTAATAAACCCGGTGTAAATAACTTAGAGATAAGATACCTGCGTGTTAGTGCAAATGAATCATCAAATGTCTCAACTATGAATGAAATACATCCCTTTGTGCACTCGCCATACGGTATTCTTTTTTAGTATTTTCATGAGTCATAGTTTTTCAATCAGAAATGGAATATTTATTTGAATAACTCTTATCCTAAAAATAAGATAGAAAAGAAAGAAAGTTTATCGTGCACTCGTTTTATTTTGTACATGTTCGGTTATATTTTAAATACTATCGATTCCACGTAGATTTACAGACATGTGATGGATATGTGAACTCGCTTGTCGAATAAGCGAACGGTTTCTAATTACGTAACGCGGCCGACGCGCCGGTGAGTCCTTATGTACGACATCAACGGGTGCACATCCTCGGTTGGAGCGACTCTAGCATCGTAAACCTAACTTGCACGTGTAACCCTGCGCATCTAAGCATCAGATGTTTGTTTTTCGTCTATAATATAGTTATTATTATAGTTATAAAAAAGGAGGCCTATTCATTAACGAATCTGTTTTTTTTAATTACTACTTTAGCCTTGGTTCTAAGAATAAGTTGTTTTGATTAAAATTTAAGCGACAGATTTTTTAATTTATTTTAGTTTAGTGATTTTGAGTTCACAGACACAGCATTCGCCTGCCAAGTGTGGCAACTATGGCAAATATCCTTAACAGGAGATCTCGATAACATCAATCTCATGTTCACTTTTTGAAAGGTCGTAAATTCATTAATTAAGGATAAAAGTAAATTTTTAATTTAATTATTATAGCTACGAGGGCTGTAACAGCTTTGTGGTATTCTTTGAGGGAGGCTTATGTTTAGCAGTGGATTTGTGAAGGGTTGTAATGATTATATGCTGAACCGCAAAAACTGTAGGTACAGAATGCAATTATTTATAAGTTTTGTGTGATCGACACAAAAATAAATATTACGTCTGAGGTGACATTAACAACAAAATGACAACTTTTTCAGTCCAGATATCCCCATCTCGACTGAAAAAATGATAAAAATAGGTTTTTGACGAGAGTTTAGAGACAACTGCAGTTCGGACTTATAATATCTATGAAGACTTGATAAAATCATCACCCGTATTTCCCTGTTTCCTCCTCCAAAACTGGGTTGTTTATTTTCTTTTCAAAATTAATAAAACAAGGATTATGGCTACGTCTGTATATGTTTTAATGTTATAACATCGGTATAACGAAACATTTTAGTAATTTTAAAACATCCTAATTTATAAAATAATTAATTTATAAGAAAAAACTAAACATACTCTTAGGAACATGACAGTGCCATATATAGGTTATACGCGTATAGTAATAAAATGTTTGCTTCAGTGTCATTATCCGGGGAGAAAACAAAAGAATACTATTGTATAGACAAAACGCCGCCCGGATACCTATCTTCTTAATGTTTGCTTTCATGACATGCGTTTAAAACTAATTCAAGCTACTATATCATCGTTCGGAATATTTGAATCGTAGCTCGGTCCACCTGATGATAAGTAGAACCTATGTTGCGTTGACACCTGCATGAAGTTTGCGTTGTCCTTCTTGAGGGCTTAGATGAAATTACTCGTTACAAACACCTCACGCCTGTAATCCCCGAGAGGGTAGCCAAAGTTCAAAGATCAGCGAGCCCTTCGAACCACGTTTTGTCTAAAAATATGGTTATTAATGGAAAATTCTAAAAGAAGTGATAGATGGCTAGTCCGTTGCCTACACAATCAAAATTATCTCTACGAAGGTAAAGAAAACCAAAACATTCGCTTTGTTTTTGGGAAAAATTTTGTTAAACGTTCTTCGCTTTTTGTTTAAAGTATTGCTTAGTGACGCAAAATTAAATTTCGTTAAAATACATGTTCCGCAAAAAAACAAAGAGACAAAAAGTATCGCCTCGGGAAAATGAACGAAATCATAAACATTTTAATTAGAGTCACGTTTATGTTGTTGTGTATGTTGTAAATTAACAATACTTTCTATAAATATTGGTAATTTTTTTTAAAGAAAAATTGTGAAGGAAATTTTTTGAAGTACACACCACATGGTGGTAAGTAAATGCTATGGACCATTAATATTTACATATTCTTAATTAATAACCAAAATGTGATGATACAATGATGAATGGAAGATAATTGTCTCCGTGACAATCTATGATATTTTATTAATAACTAAGTAGTTTGATGTCATTTTAACTGATGTATCTTTCAAATCTTACTCCACTACACAACATTACATTACATTCCTCCGTCTCTACCGAAAAAAAGTCTTATATAAATAACGGTACTCTTTAACCTCTCCACATTCGTCGTGCTCAATCTCTTCATTCTTTCAAAAGTCTTGTTAAATCGTATTATTTAGAACGCTATTAGATAAATTACTTTTCCTTTATCGTACTCTTTTCATTTAATTTATTATATGAAATCATACATAATCTTCACTAATCTTTACTTATTGTATTTTCATATTTGTATTTTTATTTTGTACGCCCCCCCCCCCCCCCTCTATTTTTAACTATTGTTTGCATCAGTTCTCTACGCTAAGGTTATTTGGAAGAGATCACTTTCAGAGTGATAAGACCGCCTATTTTACATATTCTATTTTAGATTTAACTGTACTCGTTATTTTGTAATATCGTTCCGAAATGAAATAAACGTTTAAACGTGGTAGAGCTATGCTGCAGCTATATTAATTGTATAGTTATAACACGAATGGGTCGGCTCGACCGGGGAAGGACCTCGCTCTTACAGAATACCAGCGTAAAATATCAGCTTAACGACTGAGTGCTCGCTTATCACTTTTATCCTATAAAAAAAAAAACTAATTTTACGGATGCAACTATATTATTGGTGTAGCACGAATGGGTCGGCTCGACCGGGAAAGGACCTCGCTTTCACAGAATACCAGCGTAAAATAGTGGCTTATTGCTTGCAGTGTGTGTTCGTAAGGTGGTGTAGAGAACCGGAGACGCTTTTTACTGGATACGAGGCATTACATCTTAGTCCTCTGGGGTGACAACGCATCTGCAATTTGATTCTTAATCGAGGATAGTTGTAAATATCTATGGGCCACAGTATCCACTTACCATCAAGTGGACTTGTTGCTCGCTTGTCATCCTAATTATATATTTAAAAAAACATGGTCACGGGGACGGGAGGGGGGTCAATTCCCAGGAAGAAGTTCTATATTCAGAGTTAATTATTTTTTTATAGTACGAGGGTGGATTGAAAAGTACTCGGCCTAACACAGATCCATTCAATTCTAAAAATCAAATCTACTCACATTATTTAGTTCAGTTCAGACTAGTTCATTGTGTGAAGTTCGAAACGTGTGCGATAATTAGTTGTGATTTTATAAATTTATTAACAAAGTAATCGGACATAATTTCCGCGAAAGGAGCAAATCGAGCAGCGTGCCGTCATTAAGTACCTCCATAAGAAGGGGCTATCATCCAAAGCCATCCATGATGACATGGTTAGTACATTAGGCGATTGTGCTCTGTCATATTCATCCGTTAAAAAATGGATAGCAGAATTTAAGCGTGGTAGAGAGAGTGTGAAAGATGAACCCCGCTCTGGAAGGCCTTCGACGTCAACTACTGACGAAAATATTAAAAAAGTACTTGATTTAATAATGGGAGACCGCAGATTAAAAATTAGAGAGATAGCCGAGATTATAGGCATCTCTTATGAACGAACTCAAAACATCATTGTCAACGAGTTGGGTTTCCACAAGGTGTCTGCGAGGTGGGTTCCGCGACTGCTTTCAGTTGAACAAAAAAGGACGCGATTGACTATTTCACGCGACTGTTTGGAGTTATTTGAAGCCGATGCAGATGATTTTTTGAATCGTTTTGTTACTATGGACGAAACATGGGTTCATTACTGTACACCGGAAACAAAACAACAATCAAAACAGTGGAGAAGACCTGGTTCACCACCCCCTAAAAAGGCTAAGTCGATTTTGTCGGCAAATAAGGTGTGATGGCTTCAGTATTCTGGGACTCGAAAGGTGTGATTATGATTGATTATCTTGAAAGGGGTCAGAATATAAACTCTGATTACTACTGCACCTTACTACGTCGTTTACGAGAGGAAATAAAAGAAAAACGTCGAGGAATGCTCAGAAGAAAAGTCCTGTTTCATCAAGATAACGCCCGTGTTCACACGTCAGTACAGTCAATGGCTGAAATTCACAACTGTGGCTTTGAACTGTTACCGCATCCGCCGTATTCACCTGATCTGGCACCATCAGACTTCTTTCTGTTCCCTAACCTAAAAAAGCACTTGGGAGGTCAAAGATTTTCGACAAACGACGAGGTCAAAGCAGCTGTAGACGCATATTTTGACTCTAAGGAAGAATCATTTTTTTTCAACGGTCTAAATGCTTGGAAGGGGAGGTGGCAAAAGTGTATTCAACTTGATGGTGATTATGTAGAAAAATAAAAATATAACTGATTTAGTATTTGTTTATTTTCTT